AGTTGTTTCTTTACATCTTGCTCCAAATCTTTGTAGCTTCTCTTCCCTTCCTTCCTCCATTGTTTCTTCACTCTACCTTTTTTACCCCCTTGTCTCTCCACCTCCATTTCCCTCTTCTGTGTTCCCCTTTTCTGTTGCTTTCTGACATTATATCCACTTTTCACCTTATTTTTCCCTTTTTTGGTTTGTTTTTTTAGGTCTTAAATTCTCCATTCTCTTTCCCCCCTTTCCTCTTTCTTCCCCAGATAAAGTTACTTGTTCATTTAAGATGGCTTCTTCTTTGTCCCAATCTTCTTGTTGCACAGTCTTTTCTTGTAGTTTCTCTTAGGTACAGATAGCCATTTCTAAGAAATGAAAAACGGAGCCAAAAGAGCCCTTCCCTTCTTGTTCCTCTTCTTTATATTTTTTAAATTCCATTTTCAGTTCATCCACAAGTGATGCCATTGTAAAAAAAAATTTAAACAACCACCCAATTGATTTTAATCATTCAAATATAATTTCCAGAAGTCCCAAAGTCACCAAACAATCCAAATACACACAAGCTGTTTCATTTAACACTTTCTTCTTTTTTCACTTTCTCTTCCTGGGGTTACTATTTAGTTACAAAGTTCCAGTTAAAATGTATCTTTTAGAAGTCTTGTTACGATTTAACTTTAGATTCTTTTAAATTCCAAGCAGCCTCCTCCAGCCAAATCTTGCTCTTATTCTTTTCCTCTCCCTTCCCACTTACAGCAAAAAAAAGTTTTTTAAGTGTCCAGAAATCTTTATTGTCCCCTTGGCATTTAATCCAGTTTAATTACCTGTTAGTGCCAAAGCGGATTTTTCTGATTTCTCATTCATCTGCTGTCAACGTAAGGAAGGAGAGTGAGAAAACAAAAAAACTTTCCCTTTTCACTTTCATTCGCTGCTTCCGAATCTTCTTTGGGAGTGATGTATCTTTTATAAGATTTAAATTCCAGGAAACCTCAGTTGTTGCTTCTTATCCCGGTCAGCCAAAACTTTCACTTCCTGCACTTTCTTTTCTGGCTGAGTGCTTCTTTGAGGCGGCCATTTCTGACCGCCGCTCTTACCGCCTTCGGGAAAGGGAGTTTAGCCAGCTGGGGAGGAAAGATGCGGCTTCCCTCAACCCTGCTGGGATCTCCCCCCTCTTCGCACACCTCTACGGGGTGGCTTAGCCCCAAAGCCAAATGGCTCGGGACGCTCCAGCGGCGAGCCCAGGCAGAAACTGCACACGATCGCGGATTCCTGCCTGCCGCCGAATCCCTGCAAACTGGAACTCCGCTGCTTCAAAGTCTTCTGAAGCCAGGGTTTATGTCCTTATTTCCTTTCCTTTTTTTCTCTTTCCCTCCCTCCCTCCTTCCATGTATTTATCTATCCATCCATATTTACTTTCTCCTCTCTCCCTTTCTTTCTTTCCCTTTCTTTCTGCCCCTTCCTTCCATCCCCCTTTCTTCCTTTCACTTCCTTTCTCTCTCCCTTTTTCTTTCTTTCCCTTTCTTTTCTTTCTTGTATCTTTCTTCTTTCTCTCTCCCCTCTTTCTCTCTCTCTCTCCTCTCTCTTTCCCTCTCTTTCTCTCTTTATGTATCCCCCTTTTTCTCTACCCCTCCCTCTCTCCCTCTTTCTCTCTTTCTTTCTGTCCCTTCCACCTTCCCTCTCTCCTTCTAAAGCTAGGAAGCCCACCTGAAACACACACATATACACACACACACACACACACACACGTAGGGGTGGGATCCTCTTTCCCTCTCTTTCTTTCTCTTTCCCTCTCTCTTTCTCTCTTTCTGTCTCCCCCTTTTTCTCTCTCTTTCCCCCTCTTTCTCTCTCCTCCCTCTCTTTCTTTTTCTTTTTGTCCCTTCCTTCCATCCCCTCTTTCTGACTTTCACTTCCTTTCTCTCTCCCTTTTTCTTTCTTTCTTGCTCTTTCTCTCTCCCTTCCTCTTTCTTTCTTGCCCTTCCTTCCTTCCTTCCTTCCTTCCTTCCTTCCTTCCTTCCTTCCTTCCTTCCTTCCTTCCTTCCTTTCCTTTTCCTTCCTTCTCTCTCTCTCTCTCTCTCTCTCACACACACACACACACACACACAAGCGGGCAGCGGGAGAAGAAGAAAGCGAACTGCCCCAGGAGTTACTGTCCTCGCTGATGCTTCCTTCTCCCGGGGCTGCTCACTTCATCCGGTGGTGCTGGGTGGAGGCAGCAGTTATGGGAAGCGGGCGGGAGAAGAAGAAAGTGAACAGCCGCGTCCTCCCTTTCAGAGCACATGGGTGGCGGCGGGGCCAGCAGTGGGGGAGGGGGCAGCGGTGGCACAGCTATGGGAAGCCCCAGCAGTTCCTGACCTCCCTTTCAGGGGACAATGGCAGCAGCCCCGGAACATTCATCCGCCCTCCCTTTCAGAGCACATGGGCGTTGGGGGGAGTGGCGGGAGGGGGAGCAGCGGTGGTAGCCAAGCTATGGGAAGCAGCTCTAGGACTAGTTCTCGGCCTCCCTTTCAGGGCACAACACAGCAGTGGCGGCGGCCGGGGTGGCGACAGTGCGGCTATGGGAAGAAGCCCCAGGAGTTCCCGGCCTCCCTTTCGGGGCACCTCCACCACCCCTCTCAGCCCCAGCACAGCAGAGAAATCGAACGGCTGTGGGCTGCCATTGCCCCATCACCCTGAGGGCTGCCTGCTCGCCCATCTGCCGGCTGGACTGGCCCAGAAACGGCACCCCACCTTGGCCTCCTCCCGCCTGGCCACCGGCTTCTTGATGCGAGCAGAGGCTGCTGGTTGGAGCTAGAATTGGAATTAAATGCTGTGTGGCTGTGGCGGAAAGGACCGGGGCAGCACTAGGCAGCTTGGATAAGCAGGCGCAAGTGAGGCAGTGGCTGCTCTAGTGTCAAGCAGCTCTGGTTCTTTCTGCCAGAGACGCGCAGCCTTTTTTTTCCAATTCTAGCTATGCCCTTGCACTCGCTGCCGCAGGAGCCCAGCACTGCTCTTCCCATTGCTCCAACCAGCAGCCTCCCCTCCTATCAAGCCGGCAGCCAGGCAGGAGGCCCAGGACAGGCACAAGGTGGAGGAGGCTTGGAAAGATCCCAGCCAGTGGGGGGAGGCCCAGCAAGGTCCCAGGAGATGGGGGGGAAGCGCAAGGTCCCAGGTGGTGGAGGGAGGTCCAGAAAGATCCTGGGTGGTGGGGGGAGGCACAGTAAGGTCCTGGGCAGTGGGGGGAGGCCCTGCAAGGTCCCAGGTGGTGGGGGAGGCCCAGCAAGGTCCCGAGCAGTGGGGGGAGGCCCTGCAAGGTCCCAGGTGGTGGGGGAGGCCCAGCAAGGTCCCGGGTGGTGGTGGGAGGCCTGGAAAGATCCTGGGTGGTGGTGGGAGGCCCGGCAAGGTCCCAGGCAGTGGGGGGAGGCCCAGCAAGGTCCCGGGGGTAGAGGGAGGCCCAGCAAGGTCCTGGGCGGTGGGGGGAGGCCCCGAAAGGCCCAGGCCATGGGCAAGGGCCTCAGAGAGGGCTGCAGAGGGCCTAGGGAGCCCCAGAGAGGGCTGGGGGAGCTCAGGGAGGCACGGGGACAATGGGGGAAGGGCTAGCGCGACTCGCAGGCTTATCTGTGAGCAGGGAGATCAGTAAAGAGGCTCGTGTCGCAGTGAAAGGCAGGCAGCAATGGCTGCCCTGGTGGGCAGGTAGAAGCAGGCTCTAGGCTGGTCGCGCATGGGCACGATGTTACGCAATTGCAATAGGAACTGACCAGGCAGGGAACGGAGAAGCGGGCAGAGAGGGGCGGGGCCAGCCAGAGGCCTGATTTACCGGTTCTCTGAACTACTGGGAACCATAACTGGTTCTATAGAACCGGTGCGAACCGGTAGAATCCTACCCCTGCCCTCAGGGTTGAAATGAATCTTTTGAATTGGAAGTATGGCATCATAGAAATTTACATGTTTGCATAATGATAATCTTAGTTTTATTTATTTAGCATATGGCAAATACAAGGACTTATAGTAGTTCAAATGTTAATGTCCAGTCCACTCAGCCATTCAAGGACAGGGTAGTCTACGTTGAAAAAAATCAGACACTGGGGTGGTGTAAGCTCTTGATGGACATTCAGACACAATGTGATGGATATTTTGTCGAGGAGCACCCCAGTCACACTGAGTGGTAGAGACAAGACCCCACTTAAACAATGAATCCTGGGAGACACAATGTTGGGTACGGATCCTATTCAGAGTTGACCAATGCTGACGAGGAAGGTCAAAACCTGGAACCTTTTGTGTAGGGTCATCTACGTAATTGCCTGCATCTGGGCATTCAGCAGCCATTTCTTAGTTTGTGATACTGACTTAATTATATAAAAAACTGATTCAGGTTTGCAATATTTAGCTAATTTCCAGCCAGCAGAAAGTGAATATTGTTGAGTGCATTCAACATTTAAACGAAATGACCCCTTTTTCTATAGATTTGCTATAGAAAGCACCCAGGTTAAAATAAGTGAAGAAGAAATAAAATACTACTTATTTATGACATAGGTGTCTAACTTTTTGGCTTGCCTGGGCTACACTGAGTGAAAAGGAATTGTCTTGGGCCACATATAAAATAGTTAATGTATATAAACAACATATACAGTAATGTTAACAAGTTTATGATCTTGTGGGGCCACATTAGGAATTGTCCAGGACCACATGCAGCCCATGGGCTAGATACGCCTGATCTACGATGTTTGCTTCTCCCAAGAAGAGTTGAAAAGTTTCTGTCTTACTATCATTGCATTGTACTGGATCCTATGTTATTTTGTTAGATCTTTCCGTAACAACTCATGAGATAATGAAACGTGGCAGACAACATATATCCTGCCCTACTCTCTTGAATAATGTGTTTATATTATTTTGATATTTTAGAAATAGTGGATGGAACCTATCTGGAATGTTTCATCATAAACTGCCTGCAAATAATTGGAAGTTTATCAACTTATCTAAAAACAATCCAGATACATTTACACTATCACTATCCAAACATTTTATTCTTTTCTCTCGAAATTTCTTACCTCTTTAACATGGGCATCATCAAAATACATCCACATACGAATCTTTGTTTGAAAGAAAAAGGTGGAGTAATGTTTTCCATAGTAGCAGATCATTCCAACCAAATACAGTTCACATTGTTTTGCTTTGTCGTCAGTTACTCTGAAGAACAGCTTCAGGGAGGGAAGAATAATCTCAGTACAATTCTTGCATTTCTCTAAAACTTAAATTTACTTAATAAAAACTATTTAAGCTGAAGGAAAGATGTTTGAAATAAATGCAGAACACACAAACAGGGACGTGCACATATAGATGAAGGACAGTTAGCACAGTCAAACAAGAATGTATATATTGCCATAAGATTTAAGACTCACATCACCCAGTTTAAGGCAAGTGCCCAGGCTATGAATGACATCCTCCGCCAAATCTGAGTGATCCGAGTCCCAGACCAGTCCAATGGTGATGATCTGTGGAGAGTTCATCAACACTCGGCGTATCTGAATTTTTTCTCCACAATTGCTCTGAAAAGAAACCCAATATATTTCATTCCTGATGGTTTTAACCATTCCTTTTTTTAGTATTATTATGCCTACATCTCCTGATAACAACTTATCTTGGTTTCAGACAAAATTTCTGAAAATGCAACTGGTTTGTATAATGGAAAGAAACAGGAGTATACCACCTAGTGTCAGCTTTGGAAGCCATGTTGAGATTCAATGCTCCCATGCTGCAACAATTGAGCCTGAGAAAGTGGGAGGGGGGGAATTCATTTGAGTATATCTATTAGACAAAATAAAATTCTTTTGTTTGGTTCAAGGTTACTGAGTGTGGTGCATAATGAAATGGGAATCTTACTTCAGGACGGATGGTGATTGGACCATGTGATGTGATGATGGCTAAGCGGGGATGGATTTGTAGTTTTGACTTTTGCAAGGAAGCCCAGAACTTTCAGATTCGGGATGCCACAGATGTGCCAGTTACTATCCAAATAAAGGTACCTTTGAGATATTTCTGTCTCAAAGTTATTGACTGGAATGGAGAGTTACTGGAACGCTGACACCTAGAGTATAAACTGGTGTAACCAACCCACTTGGAGTAGCCCCACAGCAAGATAGATTTATATTGTGGTGACGCAGAGGGGCTGAAAACCAAATGTATAAGAAAAACCTTTTCTCTTAGTAAGTGCTGTCACATGTCATTTCCTAAATATAAATCCATCCTGTTGCTTTATCTGTAACACTGCAGTCAGCAATCCTTGTTTAATTGGGTGATAGGTAATAAAAAATCTACTTTAGTTTTTTATTCTATTCCAAGTCAGCTATAACTTTTATCAAATAAATTTAACAAAAATAAATAAAATATATTAAATTCTTCAAATATTCCTAAATGTTAAAAAAGAATATTGTGCATGTATTAAACTGTTCCTAACAAAGGAGAATATTTATAGCTCAGGGATGAAATGAAGGGTCCTTGGTATTATCTGAGCTTGGTTGTTTTTTGCAGATGTTTCATTACCCAAACTAGGTAACATCATCAGGAAGAAGGCGGAGACACGTCGCCGCGATACAGCTGCAATCTCGGGGCTCCGAGATCGCAGCTGATATCTTCGCCTCTGGTCGGTCCTGCCGGACCTAAACCGTCCCGTAGAGATGGTGATAGAAAGGGGTGCATTCTGTCGATCCCAGGGACATCGCAAAGTTCCTGGTGGATCCAGGTGAAGCCCTTCTACCATCGGCGGAGAGGCACCCATTAAGCTACTGAAGCTGGGACAGCTCCGGAAGGAAGAGATAGAAAGAGAAAGTGTATCGGCTGGTGAGGATCTTTTTTTTTTATTTGGGACTTAAGGACACTCTAGAATGAGAAGAAACCTGTAAGATTTTTGACAAAACTTGATAAAATGGACTTAGTGGTGATTTTCTAAAGAGAAACGTCAAAGTGAGGCTTGGCTTTTTACTTTTACTTTTTTTTTTTTTTTTTTCTTTGAATTTCTTTTGCATTTTTATAATTATACGCATACTTTCTTTTTCTATTAGGTTTTTTTGGGGGGGAAGAAGGGGGAGTGGATTAAAGAAACTTTGTAACACTGCCAACTAGAGGCTTGAAAATACTTTGTTTGAAGTTGAGAGGACTGTGAAAAATTCTTTCTCAAGGACGCTGGAATTTGATAAGATAGAGGGAAGAACACTGGAGAATGTTTTCACAGGTGTTTCTTTGGGATCTCTACTATCAATTGAACATTTGAAGCTTGGCTTTGAAATTTGTGGAGAAGCCATAATAAGAGCCTTGGACGCTTAAATAAAATGCAGTGTGCTCCTTGTTTTACTTTCTCTTAGCTGTTTTATCCCTCCTCTTCAATCCCATAGCATTCTGTAATATTTGTATAATTTTTTTATTATAATTTTACTTTTTTTATCTTTTTTTTTAAAGGGAAAGCCTCAGAATATCTTTTTCCTTTTTTTTTTATTGGGACCTTTGCCTTTTCCACTTTCATTTTTGATTTATTTTCATGGCTATTTTTTATTTTTTGAGACCTCTCAATTGGATTAAGGTGTGAAGAACCTGAAGAATTTTTCTTTTCTCCTTTTTTTTTCTTATTACCTTTTAACATTATTGGGTTTTATTCTTTTTCTGACTATCATAACTGACTATTCCATAATAGGATTAAGGTTTAGAAGAACCTGAAGAAACTCCTTTTTTTAAAAAATTCTCTTCTTTTTTTAATTTTGGGCTTTTTATTTTTTACTGGCTTTTTCTTATGTTTTCCTTTTTCCTAATTGGATTATAATTGGCCACTCTACTAACTGGATTAAAGGAGTGCGAAGACCCTGAGTTATCCAAATGAGCAAGAAAATTCTACCTTCTGGCATTTCAACTTCTGCTCCTGCCTCCCCATCAGCTGGAGGACGACTTTTAACAATGGCGAAGCAAGATAAAGCACAAGTGGATTTAATGATGGTTATGCAAGGAATCCAAGAACTTAAAACGAGTATTGAACAAAGAACGGAGAGCATTGAACATAAAATTGAAAATATTCAACAAATGATGGTGAAATATGATGAGACTCCAAAAAATGGAAGAGAAAGACAAACAAAGAGATGAGACAATTGGAAATATCGACAGCAGATTAACAATGGTCGAACAAGACAAAAGTGGGATGTTGAAGTGGGAGATGGACAGATCAGAATTTTACCTCAGATTCCAAAATATAGAGGAAGAAAAAGGACAAGATCTGGCTGCAGTAATGATAGAAATCTTGGCTGGAGCTCTGGGAATAACAGAGGAAAAGATGATGGATGGAGTAGATGAGATATACCAAGTTTTCACAAGATATGCGACGAGGAACAGCCTACCAAGAGAGGTTCATGTCAGATTTACTAAAACAACCATTAAAACACAAATATTACAAGTGGCAAGAGAGAAGGCGTTGAAGTATAAAGACAAAGAGATTGCGGTCTTAAAACAAGTACCCAGAAAAGTCAGAGAGATGAGAAGAGAATATCGATTCCTGACTAAAATACTATTGGAAAAGGAGGTGAATTACAGATGGCTGATTCCAGAAGGATTAATGTTTACATGGAAAGAACAGAGACACAGAATTGACTCAATTGAGAAAGCAGAAATATTTTATAATGAATTCTTCAAAAGAAGAGAAATAGAGACAGAAAAAGAGATCATCCCAACTGAACTTCAAGAGGATCAAATGGGAATGGGAAAAGAAGAAGGTGCAGTAGGTGGACAAGTGGAGACCAAAGAACAACGTGAAGTAAGATCAACGAGAGCTGTTAGACCTAAATACAAAACATAATCATGGAGGAAAAAAAATTGATTTCTATGAATATAAATGGACTGAACTCAGCTACCAAAAGAAGAAAAACTTTTCATAAACTAGAGAAATTAAAATTTGACATAATCTGCTTACAAGAAGTACACATTAAAAAACAACATCAACAATTATTGGTGCGACCAAAACTAGGGAAAATTTTTACTTCTCTGACTCATTGTAAGAAAAGAGGAGTGGTTTTGTATATTAAAGAAACTATCCCAGCAAAATTGATTCATACTGATGAAGACGGAAGAGTATTAATGGTTGAAATAGCGGATAATAACACAAAAACACTCCTGGTTGCTATTTATGCTCCGAACGACAAACAAGAAGAATTTTATAAAAAGTTACATATGAAAACAAACGAACTGGACTATATTAACTTAGTTATGATGGGAGACTTTAATGGAATTGCAGACAATAAATTGGACTATACAGCGACAGCATCAAGACAAAATAGAAAGATTCTCCCTAAATCCTTTTTCAAAATGATAGATGAATTAAACTTAAAAGATATATGGAGAGAAAGAAATGCTAAAACTCAACAATATACTTTTTATTCAAATAGACATTTATCATGGTCCAGAATAGATATGATTTGGATCTCAACAGAATTAATATCTAATATCCAAGAAATAAATATTGAAACAAGTATATGGGCAGACCATAATCCAATGATAATTAAATGGAAAGGACAAAAAAGAAGATCTAGATGGACATTAAATAATACTATTCTAAAGGGAAAAGATTTCACACAATGGATGGAAAAAGAACTGGCCTTCTTCTTTAGTGAAAATAAAAAAGAAGATACTTCAACACAGAATGTTTGGGATACAATGAAGGCATATGCGAGAGGATTAATAATAGACTATACAAAGAAAAAGAATATTAGGAAGAGGCTCTAGAAGATGACTACAAAAAACTGGAAAAAGAATTACAGAAAATGCCACAGAAAAAAGATATTAAACTTAAAATGGACATAATTAAACATAAAATGGGTCAGGTAGAGAAAGAAGAACTGGCACAAAAAATCAGAAGTGCAAAGCAGAACTATTTTGAAAATGCAAATAGGCCAGGTAGATGGTTAGCATATAAACTGAGAAAGGAGAAAGAATCAAGGAAAATATCACAGTTAATAGATGATCAAGGCCAAATGTGTTATGGTAATAAGGAGAAAAAGGCAATTATCCAAGACTTTTATGGACAATTATATAATCAGGAGGATCCTGATGAGGGAAAAATTAAACAGTATTTACAAAATGCTAATCTACCTAAGATACCTGAAGAGATTGAAAAAATGTTAGAAAGTACTATAACAATGATGGAATTAACTGAAGCACTCAACAGACAGAACAATGGAAAAGCACCAGGTCCAGACGGGCTTCCGGCAGAATTTTATAAAACACTACAAGAATCGCTGAGCATTCCACTGCTAGAAGTCATGAACGAAGTTATGTTAAATAAGAAAATACCTAAAACATGGTCAGAAGCTTATATTACACTTATTCCAAAAGAAGGGGCCGATCCATTACAAATTAAGAACTATAGACCTATTTCTTTATTGAATGCAGACTATAAAATCTTTGCCTCAATTTTGGCAGAAAGGCTTAAAAAAATTTAAATAATTTTATTCACCCTGATCAGAACGGATTCTTACCAAAGAGACAAATTAAAGACAACATGAGGGTAATTCTGGACACTTTGGAATACTATGAGGTGCATCCTGAAAAACAAATGGCTTTGATATTCCTAGATGCCCAAAAGGCATTTGATAATGTGAATTGGAGATTTATGTTATTATTACTGGAACAGATGGGCTTTGCCAGAAAATTTATTCAAGCAATAGAAGCCATATACTATAAACAAACGGCAAAAGTAATGATAGAGGGAGAATTTACAGACTCTATTGATATAAGCAAAGGCACAAGACAAGGATGCCCATTATCACCTTTGCTTTTTGTATTGACTTTGGAAGTGTTGAATAGAAATATCAGAGAGGATCAAAATATAAAAGGAATGAAAGTCAAAAGGGAGGAATTTAAATTGCAAGCCTTTGCGGACGATCTGGTATTTATTCTGGAAGATCCTCTAGACAGCTTTAAAACTATTGGAAAAGATAGAGATGTATGGTGAGATGGCTGGCTTGAAAATAAATAAAGATAAAACAAAGATTCTGACAAAGAACATGTTATTAAGACAAAGAGAAGAACTGGCAGACTTATTGAAAATCCAAGTTACGAACAAGGTTAAATACTTGGGGATACATTTGACATCAAGATGTACTACATTAAAAGAGAATAACTATATTAAGCTTAAACAGCAGATAGCATCTGATCTGAAGAAATGGGAAAATCTACAATTGTCATTGATAGGTAGAATTTCAACAATCAAGATGAATATTTTACCCAGAATTTTATATTTGTTTCAAACAATACCAATTAGGCTTGGCAAAGACTACTTTGAAGAATTAAATAAAATTGTGTTGAAGTATATATGGCAAGGCAAGAAAGCGAGAATAAAATTAAAACTTTTATAAGACACTAGAATCAGAGGAGGATTTGGCCTTCCTAATTGGGAGTTGTATTACCAAGCTGCAAATTTAATGTGGGTCAAAGAATGGATAACATTAAGAAAGACTAGATTGTTGACATTAGAAGGACACGATTTACTATTGGGCTGGCATGCTTTTCTGTGGTATAAGGGAACTAAATCGCAGGGTTATTTTAGAAGGCATTATATACGGGAGTCTTTATGGTTGAATTGGGAGAAAATTAAGAAACAATGCTATTTGAAAATCCCAGTTTGGTTATCAACTATTGAAGCTTTTTCTTATCCTATAATATATAAGAAGGAACAAACAGTTAGATATGGGGAAATATTGGATGAAAAGGGTGAACTTAAAACGATGCAAAATCTAGAAGAACAAGGTGTAAAGATGAATTGGTTTTCATATGCACAAATACATTCAAGGTATCTTAAAGATTCTAAAACAGTGGGATTTTATGATAAATTGACTGACCTAGATAGAATTTTGACAGGTACTGATGAAAAAGTGATTAAAAAATTATATAGTTATTTGCTGGAAATTAAATTAGAGGAAGAACAAGTTAAAGAAACAATGATTGTTTGGGGGAAGAATTTTAGATATGGGATTGATTTAGAGAAATGGCAAAAATTGTGGTCTCAAAATTATAAAATGACAATGTCAACAGCATATAAAGAAAATTTGTATAAGATGTTTTACAGGTGGCACTTTCCCCCGACAAGAATAGCAAGAATGTTCAAGAATAAATCTGAAAAATGTTGGAAATGTCATCAGATACCTGGCTCATATTACCATATGTGGTGGACTTGTGAGGACGCTAGAAAATATTGGACTAGAATTCGCATATGGTTGGAAAAAATGACAAAGAAACATATAGATTTGAAACCAGAGATCTTTTTATTGGGAATCTTACCTGATACATATAATAAAAATTTGAAGTATTTGATTGTAAATGTATTAACAGCGGCTAGGATTGTATTTGCTAAAAATTGGAAGAGTGAGAAAATACCATCAGAGGAAGAAATTATCAAGAAAATATTGGAATGTGCTGAAATGAGTAGATTGACATTTGAAATTAGAGAACAAGAAGATAAACAATTCTATGAAGTTTGGGACCTTTTCTATCAATGGTTAGATAATAAAATATAATAATAGAATATTTACAAACTTAGGAAATAATGAATATAAACTTTTTTTTTTCCTTTGATAGTATTTTTATAAAATTTTATTAAGATAGACTTGGTATGACTTTATGATTTGCTATAAAATAAATTAAGTAAACCATAGTTATCTCGTTAAAGTATGAATTAATAAAATTATAGTCGAATGATTGTTTAATAATGATATCAGGCTATATAATTGTTGATTGATAATATGAGCTATTTTGTAACACAACTACAATGGAGACTATGAAATGGATGCACAAAAAAAAGTGGTAAACCAACCGATACACTGTTTGTAAATTTATGAAGGATGATTATGCTTTTATGTTTTATGTCTTATGTTCTATGTGTTTTTGTTTGTTGTTAAAACAATAAAAAAAATTAAAAAAAACAACAAAACAAAACTAGGTAACATCATCAGTACTGGTTACTAATGAAATGTTTGTAAGAAAACAACCAAGCTCAGAGAGTACCAAAGACCCCTCATTAAAATGTTAAAAGAGAATGGTAAGGAAAAGGATAATTTTGAAATAAAGACTTTTTGAGAACATATACATATTGGAGTTAAGCTAGGTTTTAGTTAATCAGATTGTATGTTTTCATTATGCAATTTACTCTAGAAGTAAAATATTTGTAGTAGTTTTATAAATATCACTTGGTTTTAGCCATTTTGGCTTGGTTCTGGTTGGTTTCCAGCTCTGTTGAACTGCCTATTGTGTAACAGAGGCCACATTCTATTACTGCATCAAAAAGGAAGTACCAAAAAGGCTAACTTGCTCTCCTTGTACTTTCTGCGCACTGATCCATCTGTATGTCAAGGGCAGTGGTGGGACTTTGTCATACCCACTCTGAATAGCTTTCTCGACCTGGCATAGCTGCAACTTTTTGTAGCTGCTGTTCCAGCACAAAGAGATTGGAAGAAATTGCAATACATTTTAAACCCCTGTCAGAGAATGCACCATTCTAAAAAAATGTTCTTTTAGTTGGATTAAGGATTTTCAGTGTGAATCCAATCCCCAGAGTAATATATAATGATAAATCTATTTAGTATACATGTAGTTCTTGACTAACAACCATTTGTTTAATGACTGTTCGAAGTTACATGTCATTGAAAAAAGTGACTTTTGTAACCCGCACGATCATCCCAGCACCCACTCAGTCACATGATCAGGCACTTCAGCATAGGTCAGTGCTGACCATGTGATTCACTTAACAACTACAATGATTTGCTTAACAACTGTGGCAAAAATGATTGTAAAATTGGGTATCTCATTTAACAGCCGCCTTCTATAGCAATGGAAATTCTTGCCCCAACTGTGGTTCTAAGTCAATGACTACCTATACAAGTAGCACTCAACTTACAACAGTTCACTTAGTTCAGTCAGTTCATGAAAAAAAATAGTTTATGACTATTTTTCACACTTATGACCATTGCAGCATCCCCATGGTCACATGATCAAAATTCAGACTCTGGGCAACTGACTCATATTTATGACAGTTGCAGTGTCCCAGGTTCATGTGATCCTCTTTTGTGGCCTTCTGATAAGCAAAGTCAATGGGAAAGCCAGATCCCCTTAACATTACTAATTTAACAAATGGAATGATTCACTTAACAACTGTGGTGAGAAGAGTCATAAAATGGGGCACTTAGCAACATAAATTTCAGACTCAATTGTGGTGGCAGCTAACGGATTACCTGCACGGACAAATCGCATACTAAAAACCTCTCAACTCAAAAGCAACCCTCAGTGCATTCTCCCCCACCCCCATTTGGGCTATTTCTTCTACTAAATACAAATGATGTATACAAACCGGACAGTTTCTCATGTCTCCCATTGTGCTGGCATTTTGTAGCAGCTCTCCAAACATATCAGGCGTCGGTTTGTCTCGTCTTTCCAGCATGCAAATGGCCTGATTGCTTTAAATGTTGAAAAAGTATAAAACAAGAATAAAAACATATTTCTTCATAAACAATATTTAAATCTGTTGCTGCTTCTTGAAGTGTAGCATTTAGAAGAACAGCATTTCAGTTTACAAGTTCAGCAAATGTGCACTTGAATAAAACCTATGCTTCAATCAAGTAAGATTTCTAATGGAGTGCAAATTGAACTTTAATGCCTAACGTATCTCCTGATTACTCTTATCAACTATTCAATTCTGAGCTGAAATTTGAGATGCTTTATCTACAATGAATTCACAGCCTTTGAGTTCTTCATGTACATGAGCCCTTGTTTCCTGACTTCATCTTTGCAGATACACCGTCCCATTGGGCCCACCACCTCTGATGATTACAGAGAATGAGGTGCAAGGACTATTTCACAGACAAAAGCCAGGAAAAGCACCAGGTCCAGACAAGATACCTCATTCTTGCTTAAAAGCTTGTGCTGATCAACTGGACCTCATCTTCACCCGCGTCTTTAATAAATCACTAGAGATGTGCTATGTTTCTTCTTGCTTCAAATGCTCTACTATCATCCCAGTGCCAAAGAAGCCCTCCATCAAGGAACTGAAAGATTCCCGACCAGTTGCTCTAACATATGTAATTTTATGAAGACCTTTGAAAGGATACTGCTGGCCCACCTGAAAACCATCACGGATCTGCTGTTAGACTCCAATTCAGCATTCAATACCTCATACCAGATATTCTTCTAACTAAACTAAATCAGCTGACCACACTTGAAAATGGATCATAAGCTTCCTAACAGACAGGAAGCAGCAGGTGAAGCTAGGCGAAATCACATCTGACACCTGTACAATTAGCACAGGATTGTGTGCTCTCTCCACTTCTCTTCTCTCTAGATACCAATGACTGCATCTCAAAAGATCCCTCTATTAAGTTTGCAGATAATACAACAGTGATTGGTCTCATTCGAGACAACAATGAATCTGCATACAGACGGGAGGTTGAACAACTTGCCTCGTGGTGCGACTGGAACAATCTGGAACTGAACACACTCAAAACCATAGAAATGGTGGTAGACTTTAGGAGAAATCCTTCCATTCTACCACCTCTTACAATACTAGACAACACAGTATCAACAGTAGAGACCTTCAAGTTTCTAGGTTCTATCATATCTCAAGACTTAAAATAGACATCTCACATCAAAAATGTCATCAAAAAAGCACAACAAAGAATGTTCTTTCTGCGCCAACTCAGAAAGCTCAAACTGCCCAAAGAGTTGCTGATTCAATTCTACAGAGGAATTATTGAGTCTGTCATCTGCGTCTTATAACAGTCTGGTTTGGCTCTGCAACCAAACAAGACAGACACAGACTTCAACGGATAATTAGAACTGCAGAAAAAACAATTGCTACCAACCTGTCTTCTACTGTGGACCCATATACTGCACGAGTCAAAAAGAGGGCTGTGAAAATATCTACAGACCCCTCACATCCTGGACATAAATTGTTTCAACTTCTACCCTCAAAACGATGCTATAGGGCACTGCACACCAGAACAACTAGACACAAGGACAGTTTTTTCCCGAATGCCATCACTCTGCTAAACAACTAATTCCCACAACACTGTCAACTTATTTACTAAGACTGTGTTACTATTATTCCTCTAATCCTTCCTAGTACTTATCTCTTCCTGCTAATGACTATAACCATGTTGCTTGTATCTTTACAATTTATATTGTTTTATTTGTTTCCTAGTATGATTTGATTGCTTATTAGTAACCTATCACTATCACTATCATGTTGTATCTTATGGTTCTTGATGAATGTATTTTCTTCCTTTATGCACATTGAGAGCATACGCACCAAAGACAATTTCCTTGTGTGTCCAATCACATTTGGCAGATAAAGAATTCAATTCTATTCTATTCTAGTTATGTGTCCCTATTTCCATATTTTGTATATCCTTTTTGTCTTTTAGTTTATCAGAGAGATATTTGTCCAACCGTGCTGGTTTCTTCTTGGATTTCTTGTTTTTCTTTTTCAATGGTATTGTGTTGGACTGGGCTTTTATTATCATATTTTTCAGTTTCTCATGCTTCTTGAGTTGTTTTCCCCTTTAGGATTTTCATCCATGGAATTTTTCTTAGGATCTCTCTGAGTTTGTTAAAATCAGCTCTTTTAAAATTTAAGATACTGGCTGGATTATGTTCTATTGCTTGTGTTTACATTATATTGAATTCCAATATGACATGGTCACTCTCACCCAAAGTTCAACTCCCTTTATCACTTTTTCTCTATTAGTAAGAATTAGATCCAATATAACTTTTCCTCTAGTTCTCTATCTTTTGAAAGACAAAGTTATCAGCTAGATTGGTAAAAATCTATTTGATTTCCCACTTGCTGCTAAGTTTATTTTCTAGTTGATATCAAGGTAGTTAAAGTCTCCCTGTGGTATGTTTCCTACACACATTTGTTACTTGTTTAGCAAAACATTCATCCTATTTCTTCTGTTTGATTGGATGGTCTGTAGTATACTCCTATAGCAATTCATTGTTTTCCTTTCTAGGAGGTTTTCATCCATGGTTTTGTGGATTTCTATAGAGATGTAGTGAATGTTTATGTATAATGCAACTCCACCTCCTCTTTTGTTATGTATATTTCTTTTGAATAGCTTGTATCCTTACATTCTAGTCATGAGTTTCATCCCACCATGTTTCAGTAATGGCAACTATATTATATTTACCTTTATATACTAGTACTTCAGGTTCACCCTGTTTGTTCCCTAACTTTTGACAATTCGTGTATTGGCATTTAAGTCCTTTGTGAGTCTTGAATATACAGGTAGTCCTTGACTTACAATAGTTCATTTAGTGACCATTGAAAGTTACAATGGCACTGAAAAAAGCGACATATGATAGTTTTTCATAGTTTACAACCTTTGCAGAATACCCGTGGTCACGTGATCAAAATTCAGATGTTTAGTGACTGGTTCATACTTATGACCATTGCAGTATCCTGGGGTCACATGATCCCCTTTTGCAACCTTCTGACAAGAAAAGTCAATGGGGAAGCTGGATTCACTTAACAACTACCGTGTTTCTCCAACAATACGGCCTCCCCCAATAGGAAGTCCCAGCATACTTTATAGGCATAAAATCAAATTAAGCCCCTCCCCCCAAATTAAGACCTACATTAAACATTCGAAATGGGGGGAATGGTGGGGGGGGCTTGCTGTTAGGAAGTATTTTTGTTGCATACCCGGATATGGTGCTGCTTGCGTTGACTTCGGCGTTGGTGGAGCACTTCGTATCGGGACATCTTCCGCCATCGTTGCTTTCCCTTCTCCCCGTGCTGCCGCAGCGTTTGGAGCAGCCAGCCAGGCCTCCTCCCTGGAACCGGAGCCCGGCAGAGACACTCGGCTTCAGGCGCTCCTGTCGCCGCCTTCCCTTCGCCTTTGAAGGCAAAGCCAATTCTTTTAAAAACAACGCCCTACTACTGGTACAAAAAAGCCTCCCCTGCCCGAGAGGGCAGCCCAACACCACGTGGGGAGGCAAATCTCCTGGGGCCGCAGCACAGGATTGGCCCACCCCGGGAGAAGCGCCCAGCTGCCATCCCTGCCTGGCGCCAGGCAGAGCGTGAAGAGCTTCGCCTGGGGCACCCAGCGCAGCCAACAGGCGGGCCCTCCTGCCCAGTGGCGGAGCTTTCGCCAAGGTAGCAAGCGCCTCCCCGCCCGGCCCTCCGCTCATCCCGCCAGGGCCACGCCAGAGCCGTGCGGGCTGGGCAGAGCCGGGAAAGCGAGCCGCGGGTGTGTGCCCGCCTGCCAAGCGAAAGAGCCGGGCCGACCCAAGCTTGGCTTCCTTCCCAAGTCCCTCCAGCCCGAGCCCGAAGGGGCCACCAGGAGAGGCTGCCCGAGGCAGTGATAGCGCCCACCCGTCTGCGGACAGGGAGGCGAGGTGATGGCAGCGCTGCTTCCCTGGCTGGTGGGTCCAGCGGAGAGAGCCCGAATCCGCCCATCCTTTCCACCCCTCACCCAGCCCGTCCCCGTCCCCACGCATCTCCAAATGCGCTGGCAGCTCCAAAAGCTGCAGCAGCACGGGCATCGGGAAGTGGCACTCACTCGGCGGGGCTCAGCTCGGAGGACGCGGTGCAGGCCATCGCCTTGCCTCCCTGTCCACGGATGGGTGGGTGCTATCACTGCCTTGGGTGGCCTCTCCCGGTGGCCCCTTCGGGTTCGGGCTGGAGGGACTTGGGAAGGAAGCCAAACTCGGGTTGGCCCAGCTCTTTCGCTTGGCAGGCAGGCGTGCACCCGTGGCTCGCTTTCCCGGCTCTGCCCAGCCTGCACAGCTCTGGCGCGGCCCTAGGGGGATGAGCGGAGAGCCCAGCATGGAGGCACTCGCTGCCTTGGCAAGAGCTCCGCCACCGGGCAGGAGGGCCCGCCTGTCAGCTGCGCTGGGCGCCCCAGGCGAAGCTCTTCGCACTCTGCCTGGCGCCAGGCAGGGATGGCGGCTGGGCGCTTCTCCCAGGGTGGGCCGATCCTGCACTGTGGCCCCAGGAGATTCGCCTCCCCACGTGGGGATGGGCTGCCCTCTTGGGCAGGGGAAGCTTTGTCGTACCGGTAGTAGGGCGTCGTTTTTAAAAGAATGGGCTTTGTCTTCGAACGATGCCCGGGAAGGCGGCGACAGGAGCGCCTGAAGCCGAGTGGCTCTGGTTGCAGGGAGGAGCCCTGGCTGGCCGCGCGTGGCTGCACCTAACGCTGCGGTGTTGCTCTAAATGCCGCGGCAGCATGGGGAGAAGGGAAAGCAACGGTGGCGGAAGGTCTCCCGATACGAAGTGCCCCACCAACGCCAAGGCAACAACCCAGACGTCGGCGCCCGCCCGCCCGAGGATGAAAGGGGGGGGAATTAAGTCACCCCTGAAAAGACGGCCTAGCTGTTTTTTGGGTGGTCAAAAGAAATAAGGCCCAGCCTTATTTTGTGAGAAACACGGTATGTTCCTAACTTAAGAATTGCAGTGATTCACTTAACAACTATGGCAAAAAAGTCATAAAATGGGGCAAAAGTCACTTAACAGATGTCTCACTTAACAGAAATTTTGGGCTCAATTTAGGTCATAAATCGAGGACTACCTGTACGTCTTATATTTTGGGGCATATTTGCTATATCTCCTACTTTGTAAATGGGTTTTCCATCCTTTCCATCATTCTCTACCTTATTGTGTTTTTCCTTTTCTTCTTCTTTTACTCCCTACCTCCTTATTAGTTAACTAGTGGCTTTCACTTGGAATTAGGTTCTAATCTAAAGGTTTTGAAGATTGCCTCCTCCTCCCTCAATTTTAGTTTAAAGCCTTTCTGATCAGATGAGCCAGTCGTTTTCCAAATATATTCTTTCCAATTCCTGTGAAGCTCACTCCATCCCTTGCCAGTAGCCCTTCATGTAGGTAATACAGACCATGGCCTAGGAAATCAAAGTTCTCTTGACAACACCATTTTTTTTAAGCCAGTGGTTTGTTTCTAAAATCCTTCATTCCCTCGTTGGATATTGGCCTTTTGTTGGAAGTATAGATGAAATCTCCATTTGTGGTCCTAATTCTTTAACTTTCTTCCCTAGCTGATCATAATCTCTTGTTATTGTTTTTAGATTCATTATTGTGTCATTGGTCCCCATGTTTAGGAGAAAAAAGGGGTTGTAATCTGTGAGGTTGATTATTTTGTAAGGTTCTCAGTAAAATCTTTGATTTTTCTTCAGGGAAACAACATACTCATAAATTCTCAGAATGTAAATGAGATCGCAGGAGAGTTGTACTTTCAGACTTGCAAGATTATGTTAATGTAGCCTTATAATAAAGGAGAATGCGCTAATCTATTCATGTGTCCTGTCTGGCTTACCTAGGAAGGCTGGTAATACATACCAAAATATCAGAAAAAAAGGGGAAATTAAGCCAAGGAATTTCTTCTTTTTTTGCAAAAAGCTTGAGACTCACCAGAGTGAAGTAGTTGAGATATAATGCACCATCTGGATGAAGGGCAATGGGTCAGAAGTAGCACCACAACTGGTACAGACACACTAAATCAGATAAATAAATGATTAGATATTAACAGAAGAAAATATTTTTTGCTCATTTCCAAGTCTATTTTTTCATTTCAGGATTAATATAAGAATGTTGTTTTTCTGTACCTGTTCAAACAAGGTCATTGCAAATTTCTGATGTGAAATACAATGTGGGGCAGTGCAGATATCTTCCTTAGATTCATCTGCAATGTGGAAATGAATCCTCATTAAGAGGTTCTCCTACATCCAGGAAAACAGGAAAAGGAAATTAGGGTTAATATTAAAAAATGAGTTGTATGAAATTTGATTCTAAATGTTCTAAAATTCATTTAAAAACTAGGAGTGACAATTTTTGACAGCAACTCATATAGTATATATATGTCACTTATTAACTTTCTATGAAAGTAGAATCAAATATATTATTCATTATGCTAAACTTTAACATTTAATTAGGTTTGGCATATATGTAATGTTCTAACTAAATAGTCAAATTATAGATCAATAGTTGAACACCTCTAGTTGCTTTACTGACCCTGGGAATAATATACAATTAAGGGCCTTGAAAATAAACAAAATAATGGCTTTGTTTTGACATTTTAAGAGAACAATAATCATAATATTTGTTATAAGAGAATACAGTATTGGAAACCGCCTTCCTAGGGAAATTATGAAAAGCATTTTTATAACCTATTTTGTAGTAATTTGGAAACTCATCTGTTTAGATATTGTAGCTTTTTCAGTTTTATCACAATATTTTAGAAATTAATTTTATATTGTCAATACTGACATTTTCTTTTAATATAGGTAGTCCTCTATCAATTGAGACTGGATTTCTTTTGCTAAATGATGCAATCATAAAGTGTGAGAACAATCTCTGCAGTCCTCTAGGCAGCTCACAACCAAAAATCCAGAAGAAATAAAAACAAAATTTAAACAAAATGAAAGTAAAATGGAACCATAAAATAACCAAGAAAAAAGAAAACAAAGAAAAAGAGAACAAGGAAAATACATCAATATGATTAGTTTTTAAAAAAGGCTTGGTTTTTTTTTTGTGGGGGGGGGGGAGCTTCATTATTTGTTGCTTCCTCAAACACTACAGCTTCTACTAACTTAGCAAAATGCAGAATTGTTTTTATAGAATTTCTCAGCTTTCTACCACTTTTATACTCACAAAGCATTCTGCAGCATCATCCATAATGCCTAGCTGGAAACGCTGCTCATCTTGAAAGGTCTTTGCAAGAGCACTACGAAGAGCATCAGAAGGCAACACTTTGTCATTGCTGCACTGGAACTGGTTAAAGATACCCTAGATGGATAAAAGCATAGAAATTTTAAAGTGCTCAAATTATTTCTACCATACTGATAAAGAACCAAAAGTAATTATGTTTACCAAACTGTTAATACATAGACTACTCTTGCCATTCTGGGAGGATGGAGAATAGCTATTTACTGTCTATGTAAGATCTCTTGAGATACTTAAGCTAACATAGCTGTTTTATTAAGGCTAAATATATACAATTCTTTTAATCCCTTCACAGCATTCTATTTTTAACCCTATGAAACCCATTGCCATTCTTTATTCTAGTGTCTCTAGTCCTTAATTGTGTTGTGCAGAGCAGGCCACAGTAGTCAACATGGAGCCCTCACAATGCATATGTCAACTCTCTAACTAGTGAACGCAAAATAAGGAAACACTCTTGGGAGCTTGAAATTCCCAAAGGTAAAAAACATTATTGGATGCACCATTTTGATACTGAAGAATCAAAACCAGTCTGGTTTTCCTGCACAAATGCTTGCCTAGTTAAACAATAGCTTCCTCTTCCTCCCACCCCAGATGATCACATTATCCAATTATGACCTGTCCTTTCGTTATGGGAACAGCCCATCTCTTTCTCAAGCACCTGCAGTGGTGACCTTGATGGTTGCTAGGCTCTTACAATCCACAAACACATTCTCAGCATTCTAATCCCCCTTCGCTCCCCCCAACTCACCGGCAAGTTGAAAAGCATCAAGGTTTGAAGAAACAAAGCAGTTCAATCTTGACAGCATAATACAAAAAAACTAGACTTCCCATAATTTGGGTAATATACTTTAAGTGCCTCAACTCGCACTTGTCTTTTTGAGTCAGACCACACTGCTTTTATATATATAATTATATTATATATTATATATATTTGTTTTCTTAAGTTTTCGCGGGTATTTATATGTATAGTATTGAGCTTTGTTTGGGTATTTTCCCACGTCATTATGGTTGTGCTTTTAAAGTTTTAGCAACGTTTCGGCAGAATCTCATCTGCCATCATCAGGCTTCTGTATACTGTTCGTCTGACTCACAGACGAACACTATACAGACGAACACTATACAGAAGCCTGATGATGGCAGATGAGATTCTGCCGAAACGTTGCTACAACTTTAAAAGCACAACTACAATGACGTGGGAAAATACCCAAACAAAGCCGAATACCATACATACATACATACATACATACAGACATACATACGCTTTTTTAACCAGTCAGTAGTCCTTGAATACTATTATCTGCAAATTTGTTAAATGTTTTTTTAAAGAAAAATAAACAAATTAAACAAACTAATATAAAGAAGGAAACACTGGTGAATTTGATGACTAAATTGCCTTCTTTGACCATATGGATTTGGGGAAATTACTATATTGGTGAAATCAATAAATATTTACAAGGGCACAAATTATAATTAACAGGGAATTGACTAAACCCCATGAAATAAAAAAGGAACAAGACATGGATGCCTGCTTTCATCACTGTTATCCATTGTGGCCCTTGAAATTTTGAACATAGACATAGGACATGCTGAGAAAACAGCTGATGTGAAAAAGGAGTACATAAATTAAGGACATTTTCTTTTTTTAAAAAATAATTTTTATTAAACAATTTTTCTTATATACATCATTTCCATTCATTACAATGCTTTCGTGCCGATATACATACTTTTACATAAATCTTAACTATTTATACACTTGTCTATGTTGCTTAATCTATCTTTATCCACTATATCTTTTACCTTATTACCTTATTGTCTTCTCTATTCAACTTTATATCTATTATTTAGCCAATCATACAGTACATTCACGTCAAATAATAATCCGTTTCCTCTCTTTCCTTTATCTCCATAGTCAACTTATCCATCTCGGTACACTCTAGTATTTTATCGTATTTTCCTCCTACTATCATTTTTCCAATTCTGTGCATAAGTTATTCTTGCTGCTGTTAATAAGTGTAGCATGAAATAGTTTGTTTTGTTATCATATTTTCCCATTATTATCCCTAAAAGTCAAGTCTCCGGTCTTAATTCAATTTCCTGTTTAATTATTTCTTCTATCCATTTTTTTGTCCTTATCCAATATTTTCTCGCTACAGGACGTGGCCAACACGCATGGTAATATGTTCTTTGCTTTTGTTTGCATTTCCAACACTCAGATGATCTGTTTGGGAACATTTTTGCTAATCTAGCAGGTGGTAAGTGCCACCTGAGGAACATGTACAAATTTTCTCTATATGATGCCGACATCGTCAATTTATAATTCTTTTCCCACATTTTTCCCATTTCTCCAATTCTATCGTATAGCCCAACGATCATCGTTTCTTTAACCCTCTCCTATTCCTTCTTATAATCCAACAAATAATTATATGATTTTTAAATTAATTTCTCCTCTGGACCTTGTAGAATCTTATCTAATTGCGATAGTTCTCTATATATTCCATGACTTTCTGTATCTTTCTTGAATCTTGCTTGTTTTTGTATATACATCCAACACTCTACTTCAATTCCTTGCTCTTTTAATTCATGTTTCATTTTTAATATCCCTTGCTTGTTTAAGATGTCCTTATACATTAGTATCTTATCAAGATTTAACACATTTGGATATATTGATGCTTCCATAATTGATAACCAGATCGGAATTTTGTCATAATGATTTTTTTTATTCTTTTCCCAAATTAATAGCAATACATTTCTTATTTGGTGTCTTTGGAAATAACTATGCTTCTTGTTTTTCCCATTCCATAAAAATGTGGGCCACCCTAATTGTAAGTCGTCTCCTCCAATTGTCAATATTCTTTTGTTTTTCAACATTACCCAATCTTTCATCCACGTAAGGGCTGCTGTTGTATAATATAGTTTCCAATCTCGCAGAGCAAAACCCCCTCTCTTTCTGCTGTCCTGTAACAATTTTAACTTTATTCGCGGTTTTCTCCCCAGCCAAATAAACTTTGATATTAATTTGTTTAACTCTTCAAAACATTTCTTTCCTAACTTTATTGTTGTCACTTGGAACAGAAACAAAATTTTTGCCAATATGTTCATTTTTATTGTGGCAATTTGTGCTATAAGCGAGAGTTGTAAATTCTTCCAATTATCCAAATCCATCTTAATTTTTGTTAATAATTTTGTATAATTATCTTCTTTAATAGATATACTTTTCGCTGTAAGCCAAATATTTCGCTGTAAGCCAAATATTTAACTTTTTAAACAATTTGTATTTCCAATTTTTCTTCCAATTCTTTGTTCTGTTTCTTAGTAAGATTTTTTGTTATGATCTTTGTCTTGTTTTTATTTATTTTAAGACCTGCCACTTTTCCAAATTTTTTTATTTTCCAAATTAATTTGGGTTCCAATTCTAACGGTTCCTCAAGCACAAATACCAAATTGTCCGCAAAAGCTTGGGCCTTATATTCCTCTTTTTTATTTTGAGACCTTTTATTTCTTGCCCCCTCTAATCTGTCCAAGTAACATTTCTAAAGTCAGGATAAACAATAATGGGGATCCTTGCCTTACTCCCTTCGATATTTGAAATTGTTCAGCTAACCCTCCATTTATTATTACTTTTGCCGTTTGTGTGGAATATATTGCTTGTACCATTCTTATAAATTCCCCCCAAAATTCATAATTTCTAATTGCTTTATAATAAACTGCCAATTCAAATGATCAAAAGCCTTTTGCGTATCTAGAAACATCAATGCTATTTGTCTTCCAGAATGTACTTCATAATATTCCAGTATGTTTATAATTGTTCTCAGATTATTTTTCATCTGTCTCTTTGACAGAAATCTGTTTTGATCTGGATGTGTCAACTCGGTTAACACCTTTTTTAGCCTTTCCGCCATTATGGATGCAAATATTTTATAATCAGTATTCAATAAAGAAATAGGCCTATAATTCTTTATTTGTTGGTGGTTTGTCTCTTCTTTTGGGATTAATGCTATATACGCTTCTGACCAAGTTTTGGGTAATTTCGCTTCTGCCAGTGCTATCATATTTGTCTCGAATGGCTTTTGTATATTTTTATAAAGTTCTACAAGTATTCCATCTGGGCCCGGGGTTTTATTGTTCTTTTTTTTTTTTACCGCTTCTGCCATTTCCATCATCGTTATTTTTTCATTTAACATCGTTCTTTTTATCTCTTCAATTTTGCTTATTTTTTTCTTATTCAAATATTCTTTAACATTCTTTTCCATTATATTTTCCTGACTGTATAAATTCCTAAAAAAATCTTGAATAATTTTCCTTTTCTCTTCTGTTCTATGACATATATTCCCTCTGTCATCTTACAATTGGTATATTATTCTCTTCTCCTTTTCTTTATTTGCTAGCCATCTCCCCGGGTTATTTGCATGCTCAAAAAAAATATGTTTCGCCCTTTTAACTTTTTGTGTCATTTCTTCCAGTACTGTCAAATTCAGTCTATGTCTTATATGTTCCATTTTCTTTTTAACTTTACCCTTTTGAGGACCGTTCTGTAGTTCTACTTCCAATTCCTTAAGTTCCTCCTGTAGGGCTTCTTGTTGATATTTTCCCCCATTTTTTCTTGCCACATATGCTATTAGTCAATCCTCAGATGTACACCTTTGCTGTGAAATTAAGGACATTTTCTGATAACCTGGTTTAATTTTGGAAAATCCTATGGAAGGAATAGGAATAAATAATTTTGATGTGCTGGTTGGATTAAAATAAGGAGATAATGAAGATGTTAATAAAAACATGATGGAAGTTCAAAAAGAATTAATTGAGAACAAAGTAAAATATCAAGGTGTTACATGACTAATATGAACTATGTGTTATTTCAAAATAATTATGTTAAAGTATGTAATGGAATTAAGAAATATGTATTACAATGGGAAAAATAAGGCCTTGGAATTGTAATATATTCAAGTCCAATGTCCAATGTTTGTCAGGTCTGGCCTCAATTTCCTTCTGATGGCGGCAGGGGTGGGATTCAAATTTTTAAACAAACTGTTCTGTAGGCATGGCTTAGTTGGTGGGTGTGGCTT